CAAAATTTCTTATGTCTCCAGTTGGTTGACGATATATTGTGATGATACATAAATCTGAGAATGATGACAATTCGATAACGTCGGTGGTGACAAGCGTGTCCAAACTCTTCAAAGGGCGTGTTATGAGATGTCCACAAAGCACTCTAGTCATAACTGAAAAACTTTGATAAGTTTTGAACAATATAGACGGACGCATCATTTGAACACTACATTGCGATTGAAAATCGGTTAACTTGAAGGAAAATTATCACATTTTTGAAAAACGTAGAAAATTCGAGGTACTCACTTGGTTCTCTGAGCAAGAATATTGAATGCTTCGGTCTTGCGTCACGTTCAATCATCGTTGATGCGCGAATGAAATATTATCCGAAAACTTCTACAAAAAAATTAGATACATAGATAGATAGATAACTTTATTCAGGTAATGATATAAACATGAACATAATAGTATAAACATGGTGATATTTTTAAATATTTCATAGACTGTCACCTAAGCCTAGCTTGTGCTGTGCGCAGTCTATGAGATGTGATTGATTTGATATATTTCATGTTCAATCTGCTTATACTATAGTAAGAAGGAAGTACAATTTTCAGTATTTTTTAAGAATTATTGACATTTGAGGATGATTGTCGTTTGAGGATGAAAGGACCTTCAGTCAAAAAGTATTTTAAATGAATCATAATTAATATCTATGTATTTTTTTATCTCTTTTCTAAATTTGTATCTATTTTTTATATTTTTAATTTGTACTGGTATCATATTCACCAATTTTGGTCCATAGTAGGATATGAATTTCTGTATATAGCCTTTAGAATATAGTGGAATATAAATAGCAAGATTGGCAGTTGTTCTTGTATTGTATGCACGTGTGTTCAATTTTATTGGATTTTTTAGTGTCCATATTATACTATGATATACATATAGTTTTCTTACTTCGAATAATTTTGTTTCTGCATAAAACGTTTTTGTTGAGTATCTCCGATTCTTCTTGAAGAGAATTTTTATCAATGTATTTTGAACAACTTGAATGTTGTTCATTGAGGATTTGCCTGTACCGCACCCCATATGATTATACAATATCTTATCACCGATTCGGCCAAGGCATCGTAAATCATAAAAAGTAATTTTGTGTTAGCAATATTTCTCAATTGATAAAATTTATATATTAATTCATTCAGTCTCTTAACAGTTTACTTTATATGTTCAGTCCAACGGAGATGTTGGTCCACCATCACTCCAGGATATTTTATGTAATTAACTTTTTCAATTGTTGAACAGTTACAATTAACATTATTGCATTCGTCTTTGTGGATTTTGAGGGCATTATTTTCAGGTAGATCTCTCGAAGTAGCTGTATATGTGATATATTTAGTTTTTTCAATATTTAAACTTAGAAGATTTATATTTATTCACGATAGATTTTCAGCTCTATTTCTGTGTTTTTATAAAGTTCTTCCCACGAATTATGTGTAAAGGTTATGGCTGTGTCGTCTGCGTATGATGTAACATGAGTAGTTGTATTTCTGATGCTTCCAATATTATTTTTATATATTAAAAATAAAATAGGACCTGGGACAGTCCCTTGTGGGACTCCAACAGTAATTTGTAGAGGATCGCTGAGCACATTATTGATTTTCACCTTCTGAGTTCTTCCGGATAGATAATCTTGAATTAGATTCAGTGTAGTTCCTCTTATTCCTACATCATTTAAACTGCTAAATAATATATCATGGTTGACGGTGTCAAATGCCTTGGCCAGATCTATGAACACAGTGAGACACTTTTTATTTCCATTCAAGTTGTTCAAAATATTATCAATGAGGTGGACAACAGCTTTATCGGTGCTACTATTTTCTCTGAAACCAAATTGGTGCTGTGAGAGTATTTTATGTTTTTCTAGGAATTCCATGATTCTCGATTTGACTGTTTCCTCGAAGATTTTAGAAAAGTTATTAATAACACTGATAGGTCGGTAGTTGGTGGCTTAGTTTTTATTACCAGTTTTGAATATTGGAGTTGTTGTCGATTCTTTCCATTGATTTGGAATAGAGCTAGTGGAGAAACATATGTTTATAATGTGGCATAATGGATTCGAGAGAAATTGCCCGAGGTTTTTGAGAAGAGATACTGACATCCCGTCAGGCCCGGAAGCTGAATTATTTTTTAGGTTTGATATTATGTTTGTAATTTCAGTGTGTGTTACAGGATTTAGAAGTATCGAGTCTTTAATTTGTTTTTGCTTCGCAGATGGTACGCTTTCGTGACGTGTGATTCTATCATCCATGTTTTTGCCAATGTTTACGAAGAAGTTATTGAAGTAGTTGGCTTTTTTTTCATCGGAATTAAGTTTATTACCGGAGTTGTCTATAATATTCGAAAAATCTGATGGACTCTTGCATTTTTTGTAATTTGTAATATTATTAACTTCTTTCCATATCTTTTTGGAATTGTTATTGGCTTCAATTATCTTGTTTTTGAAATATGATTCTTTTGTTATTTTTATCAATTTATTTAAATAGTTCCTATAATTCCTGTATTCTATTTTTTGTTCGTTAGTGGGATTTTTTTTCAGTTTGATTTTCAATTGATCCCTGTGTTTGAGGGATTTGATATAAGACCCTGTGTGATCCATGGTTTTAGTTTAACGTACTGTTTTTTGATAATTTTTGTTTTTGTGCATCTATCCATATATTTTTTTAGTTTGTTAATAAATAGTTCATAGGCAATCTTGAAATCGTTTGTACTCATGATATTCTCCCAGTTTTCTTTTTGAATGAGTTTTTTTAATTTGTTTTCATCTGTGTATAAAATTAATTTTCCGTTTGAAGAAATGTATTGTTTATAGTTATCTATTTCGGTTGATAACATTATACAGTAATGATCAGTGATATATGTATGTATCACATAAGATTCAAATTTTATTGATTTTTTTATTGTTTTATTTGATATTTTTATGTATATGTGATCGATTATTGTGGAAGTTGTTTGATTTTCTCTAGTTGGTACGTTAATGTAGGGGAAAAAACCGTGTTCGGCCATCATACACATGTATTTATTTACTAAATTGTCGGTTGAGTTTGCAATATTTATATTTATATCTCCCATCAATATTACCACATCATTCGTACTGTTGTTTTCAAAAGTTTGATCCAGGTCATTAATGTACTGATTTAGGTCTGTTGCCGGAGGCCTGTATGAGGCATAAATGCAGAAAGTAAAATCATTCAGTTTGTTAGATATTTTTAACAAATTGATTTCCGTTAGAGTTTCAATATATGTGATATTGTCAATATGTTTTTTCACGTATACAACTACACCGTCGTTCCTATTATATTGTGATCCGTTATAAGACATATTGGAGTCAGCCAATACAAAGTCATTCACATCCTCTATGATAAAAGTTTCAGATAATATTATTATATCTAGATTTTTCACTTCTATGGATTCTAATAATATAAGAAGTTCATCGAAGTTTTTTCTCAAACTTCTTATGTTGAGATGTAGAATGTTGAAGAGATGTTTCTTACCTCTTGTGATTTTTACTGTTATTTCCTCGATGTTTTTGTAGACTTGTGTCCTTTCCTCCTCATATTGTTCTAGTTCATCCAGAAAATCTTACTATTGATATTCACCAAATATACAGGGTGTTTCAGACTTGAATGTACATACGATACTTGCCGATAGAGGACACTTCAATGGTTTCAAATCACCCCTCATTCGTGGGTCTACCGTCTTTTATTACTGAGATACAGGGCGTTATCTCGATTTTAGCAAAATCCTCATCTGGTAATAATTTTTCAACCACTTTGTATAATCTATGCATACTTGCTAGAAATATTCCACTCATATTACACATCAGAACAAAATAAAAATCGAGATCAGAATCCTGGTCCGTCTTGAGGAAAAACAGAAAACTTTTTCATTTCAAAAACAACATTCGATCTGTATGTTGAAAATTTGTGGATCTGTTGCGATATTTGGAGGGAGCGGGAAAAAATGAATAGGGTGACCTACTTTTTACGAGCGCGCAGCCAATTCCACAGATGGTCTATCATAATGTTTTGAAATAGGTATTCAGCTCCATTTCGAGGCATTTTCATCGAATTCGTAATTCAAAATCCAATTTTAACACAAAAAATAACAAGTTTTCAAAGTGTCACTGATTTTAGGAATTTTCGAGGACTCATTTCATTCATGACAATTTATTCACTGCGGTAAAGTAGGCTGTGCAAAAAAATGTCAAATTCTGACAGTTCATAATCACTAGTTTGATATCATTGGTAACGTTAAGGTTATTGTGTTATGGCATAATTATGAACACTTTGAAATGTAACAACCCAATGTAAGCACCAACAATTATCTTAACGTTACCAATAATATCACAGTAATGATTATGAACTGTCAAAATATCAGATTTATTTGCACAGCCTACTTCACCGCAGCTCATGAATCAATAGTAAACAATAAAATGAGTATTGAAAAGGAACATTCTCAGATATACTTATGAATGTTCCTTTTCAATACTTTCACCCACTCGAATACATCTGTCAAATCTGATGCGCGCTACTAAAAAGTGGGTCACTCTATTTATTTTTCCCGCTCTTTTGAAATATCCAAATAGATCTACGCAATTTTGCCATACAGAGTGATGCTTCTGAAATTGAAGAAGTTTTCTGTTTTTTCTCAAGACGGGCCTGAGTTCTGATCCCAAATTTCATTTGATTTTGATGGGAAATATAAGTGCAATATTTCTACCAAGAATGGATAGATAATACAAGTTCAATAGTTATGACCAGATGAAGATTTTTCTGAAATCAAGAACGTCCTGTATCTCGGGTATAAAAGACGGTAGACACATCAATAGAGGTTGATTTGGAATAATCAGAGTGTCCTCTATCTACAAGTATCGTATGTACATTTGAATCTGAAACACCCTTTATATATATATCATGTCTTAATTCAATGAGCTGTGCGTTTAAATGTCTGACTATTTCATTAGGTGCTAATCCCGTTCCATGTGAAATACTAGACAGTCCAGAAAGCGCTTGGGACAAAACATTCGAAGTAAACGTCAAGGCCCCATTCCTCTTGACCAAGGAAGCTCTTCCACTCCTCAAGAAGAGCCAAGCTGGCAGAATCATCTACATGAATACCGGGACCATCTACTATCATCTCGACTATCTGGGTGCATATATAAGCAGCAAGATGGCGCTACTGGGACTCATGAAAATGTCTTCCAGGCAATTGGCGAAGCATGGTATAACGGTGAATAGCGTGGCACCGGGGCCAGTATTGACAGCATTTGGCGAAATATTTAGGGATAAGGAAGATGAAGTCGATATCTTATGTCCTATGAAAAGGTACCTATATAGTGTGGTGTTTTATATGCAGTGCCCATCTCGAGTCCTTCCTCCCCCTCTTTCAATTTTTGACCTAACAACACGGGATCTTGTATCACTGTTTCAGACTCATGTACGATTTCCTAAAGATGTTTTTCATAGTCGTCCATCAAATGCTTTTATTGGATGCTCTAGAAACATTCCATTTATTTTTTTTTCTATGAACAAATGTATTATCCTTAATATACCTGAGATACCACAGTTCATGTTGAATTTTGAAATATTGAAAGGTAGTTAAGGTATGCAGATCAAAATCGTACTCGTACCTTTCTAGGTAATTTTATCAATTACAAATATCTGAATAGTTATACGGAATATTTACGGAAAGATTATCAGGTAATAAATCTTCAGTAGAAATAAACGCTCCACGTCTCATTTGTACCTCATGAATCCCTCTATTCGAATAAATAATAGTATCAACTGTGGTATTGCATTCCATCATGACACTGTAATATTCATGGGAATTGACGAATATTGAAAATATCAGAATTTCGATATTTACTCAATCACTGAAAACTTGAAAACAAACGGCTAGAATCGGCCAATTATTTGACACACTATGGACCTTGATCATCATCATGAGGATTCATATGATATATGTCCGGTTTGCATAAAGGGTATTGACAATTCGAAAGCTCAGAATTATTGATATAACTCTTGTACAAAATGAGATACATATGTTATATCTCTACTCTGAGATTTCACTTTTTAAAAAACACTTTTCTACTTGACAAGTTACTTTATTCAAAAGACAATGGTTACTTGAAAATTCTGATGGCTCTCTGCCATATGACTACTAGACTAATTCTAACTATACTAATCCCAAGGTTGCCACGCAGGGTCCTTTTATAATATCGGATCTGCAGTGTCAGCGCTGATCCTAGAAATTGTAGGAAGCAGATAGAAATATGATCAATGCTGATTCTGCTTCTCACCATATGAAAATACTGAGAAGCTGTTATCTGGTAACTTGATATATACTGAGTGTGCTTATTTTACCATATAACAACTCCCCTTTTATTAAAAAAGTTGAGGCTTTGCGTCGACTTTTACTCAAACAGTGGCTTTACTATAATTTGGATTCAATTCGATTTCTTCTTCTTCTACTGGTTCTTGCAGGTGGATGGACGGTCTTCTTCTGGGGATGAATCTTGCCAGGGTTCTTGGTGCGAACCTGTTTCTTGAGGGTGGTGGTGATGGTCCATCGTTGGAAGTGGTAATACCTATTCTAACTGGTCTTTTGCGTCTGCATTTGCAAAAGATATACAGGATGACCAATGAAATGATCAAGGCTATTGTGAGGTACGTGAACCACGAAATGTGTTTGTTCACAAATGGTTCGTTAATCAGCTTGTCTAATTGATCTGAATATTGGCTTAATTTATGTTCGGCAATATTCAAATCCTCCACATTAATATTGTTGAGTTTTAATGGTTTCAACTCGGGTAGACTGTGTTTTTCTGGAAGATGGCCACAGCATTCGAATGGGATTCGAACGGCATGATATCTGTACGTGATGTTCTTAGTTTCATCAAACAGATATTTGGAATGTATTCTGGTACTTCCTACGAAGGCGTTGCATTCGGGTTGGAGTTTCAATAGCGAATTTCTATTGATTATCTTCGTTGCTGCATCTTTGTTTGTGCATTTGATTGTAACAGGAAGAGGGTCTGACACTGTTATGAGCCACAGGTTTTTGTCAATTTCGAGAACACTATAGTCTTTGGCATAAATCAAGGATGATTGGCAAGTTTTTGGCAATTCACTTAATTGTCTAAATAGTTGGGCTTCACAAATTGAGTCACTATCTATTGGGTATGGTAGTACATCTGAGCATATTGTTGCGAAGTTCTTTATCACTTTGCAATCGTTCAGATTTTGAAGAGAAATATACAATACTGAATCATCGTCTCGCGCAATGTATTTTTGGAATGTCAATAAAACATGATGGAGGCCTGTTCGATTATCTAGTATAGGTGTTGGGTAAAGATGAAAAAGGGTATATATTTCTGGTTCTACCAATGGGATTTTGAGTACAAATACTATTTTATTATCGGTTCGATAAGCCTGTAGTTCTATGATTTCTAGATATTGAGCTACACTAGACAGATAGGTAGGTAGTGGGAGGTTATTTTTATTCAGAGATTGAGATATTGATTGCAATGAACTAATAAGATCTATTGACGTTATGATTGAACTGTGAAGTATTTTCAAACGTGCGAATGTGATTGATTTAATAGTGTCATCAAGTGCAGTTTCCAAAAATAAGTAACTTTCCATAAGTGATTCGCAAACTTCAAGTATTTTTACTTGTGCCTGATAGAATGATAGGTCATCTTCTATATTGTAGATGGATTTTTCTATTTCCTTAATATCGTTATTGAACGTTTGTTCATCGACTTGTAATTTTTGAATAGTTGAATTGAAGTTTTTGATAACTGAGGTGGTAACAGAGATTTGGTTCTTCAACAAGTTCTCTATTTGGTGTTCATCATGAGTAATCTTGTTAATGCATTCTGTGAAATATTCACCATCGGATGAATCAAGGTTTCCTGTTATTGCTTTCCAGAATGTACCTGCGCCATTAATTAAACCGCGTTTTGTTCGTCTATCATAGCTTTCTGTATCGGCATATATTTCTTTATATTTTAGTTGTAGCGAATCGGATATTTGTTTCAAAAGACTGATATGTGTCGGGTACATATATTTCGTCAGATCGTATTGTATCAAAACCGTATTTCATCAAATCGAATTCTATCATGATGGCATTCTGTAGAAACTGTACTTCATAGAACCAATAATTCATCAAAATATAAAGGATCATAATGTATCTCATCATACAGTTAAACGAAGAAATGTACTTCATAGAGAAGTAAAACATCATACCTTATTTTTTAGAATTGGTAATCCATCATAACCGTATTCCATCGAAACAGTAAATCATCAAAATCGTATTATATCGAGACAGTATTGTATAGAACCTGTTGAGCATCGAAACGGCAATTCTTCAGATCCGTATTTCATCAAAACATCAATCTACCAGAGTGAACACTCATCGAATTTGTAATAAAGCGAAACCGTAATTTGTAGAAACCGTAATTCGCCAGAACCGTATTTCATCAAATCAATAATCCATCATAACCGTATTTCGTAGAATCGGTAATTCATCAGATTCGTATTTCATAGAAACAGTAATTCATCAAACCCGTATTTTATCAAAACGTCAATTCATCATATCCGTATTTCAAAGAATCAGTAATCTGTCAGCCCCGTATTTTATAGAAACGGTAATTCATCAGATCCGTATTTCATAGAATCAGTAATTCATCGAACCCGTATGTTATAAAAACGATAATTCATCAAATCTGTATTACATAGAATCTGTTATTTGTCAAACCCGTATTTTATAGAAACGGTAATTCATCAAATCCGTATTTCATAGAATCAGTAATTTGTCAAACCCGTATTTCATCAACATTAATTCTCCATATTGAATAACTGGTAATTCAGCAGATCTGTATTTCATAGAAACCGTAATTCGTCGACACCGTATTTTATCGGACGGTAAATCATCGGATCGGTAAATCATCGGATCGGTAAATCATCGGATCAGGTTGAAATCGAAATGTTACAGGAAACTGCATTGCAGTGACTCGCCAAAGTAAATTTAGATAGTTGAGTAGGACACGCACAGATGTCGCAGCTCGATAGTGAAGTAGGTATAGTAAAATACTGTCGAGAATTATTGATTTTACAGAAACAGCAAGAGATGCATTCGTTCATAACTATAATTCAAATACTCGATGGTAGGGTAGGTACCTAAACGAACAATCAAATCTTGCCGATATTTCGTGAAGTTGATGAACACAGCAATTTCCAAACGTTCGAGAATAATTGAATGTTGCAATTATGTTATGTTATAGAACTGACATGGGTATTTCGACATCGTTTTCGATATAGGTATATTATTTCATTATCATTCATTATTATGATTGAACGAACCACTACTTTTCACTGTGGTGATTTATGATCGATAGGTACATCCATAAATACTTGGGAATAAATCAGGCCAGGCCTGAATAGGTACCTATACCTAGGTGTTATATTTTGAACATTTTATTTTTACCAGGTGCATATCCATGAGAGCTTTAAGGGGTGATTTCCCCCCTCAGAAAGCAGGAAGGGTAAATCCAAGATCGCGGATCCCATATGGCGGACGAATTTTGTAATTATGATTCAAATCTATTCAAAATTAATATCTGCGGGTTCTCGGGATCAGAAATTCTTATTCTTTCGTCGAAATTTGAAAATTCAAGAAGGCGGATCCAATATGGCAAACGAGTTTTCTAATTATTATGATCCGCTTCTATTCAAAATTGGTATCTGGATTGAAAGGGTTTTTGAGGTCGGAGATTATGAATCTTTCGTCGAAATTGGTAAACTCAAGATGGCGGATTCAATATGGCGAACGAGTTTTCTGATTATTAGGATCCGCTTCTATTCGAAATTGGTATCTGGATTGAAAGGGTTTTTGAGGTGTGAGATTATGATTCTTTCGTCGAAATTGGAAAATTCAAGATGGCGGATCCAATATGGCGGATGATTTATTTCATTCTGACTCGAATCTATTGAAAATCTGTAAATGGGATTTTTCGGGATCGGAGATCATGATTCTTTCGACAAATTTGAGAATTTAGGATGACGGATCCAATTTGGCAGACAAGTTTTTTAATAACGATCCGATTCTACTCAAAATTTGTATTTAGGGGCTTTCGAGGTTTAAGAATATATAGTGGAGCAGTTTTGGAATTATATAATTCGATTCTATTCAAAATTGGTATCTATTTGTTTTGGGGTCGGAGATTATGATGCTTTTATCAAAATCGAAAAATTCAATGAAGCGCATATAATATAACATATATATGGCAGACGGGATTTGTTGTATCTGGAGGTTGTTGGGG